CTGGTTCTGGTTCTGGTCCTGGTCCTGGTTCTGGTTCTGGTCCTGGTTCTGATTCTGGTCCTGGTCCCGGTCCCAGGTGGAGTCTCTCTGTGAGCAGCAGCATCTTCTCACTGAAGCGCTCAGGGCTCATGAGCCTCACTGTCCCGTCGTGCATTGCTTCTCCTCCTTGACAACACTGCCCCCTGTTGTTCCATTTGAGCAGTGCTGACTACAAGCTGACATCAACAAGCACTAGAGGGCGTTGTTTGACCAGCAATGGATTCACAGAGTCAGATCCCTGCTTCTAACTGAACTGAACACTGCCCTCTAGTGGCCGATCATTCTCCGTTTTTGGTTTTGTTTTCTGACTTTTCAGAAATGTAAGAAATATTTTCACTGATGTTTCCAAAGGAATAAAACAAAGGTGTGACTCACGATCAGCTGGTTCTCTTGGTTATTTGATGAGGAGTCAACGTTTCCTCTGCTGCCTTCGGCTTCAGCTTCAGACCATGTGACACATGAGGTCACGACCCGGTGGACCTGCTGTGACTTTTCCACTGGTGTTGAAATAATCGACCTGCTGTGACTTTTCCACTGGTGTTCCACTGGTTTCAACAGAAACAGAAGGAAGTGATGTAAGGAACCATGTGAACCAATAGTTTCCCATCAGTGTCATCAACCAGCAGCAGAGACAGAGGTCAGCACTGATGCCAGCTCAGGTCAGAGGTCAGAGGTCAGAGATCTGTTTCGTGTACAGCAGAGAGGAAGTGTGGTTTGGTCCACTTCCTCTTACCCCACCGCGATGACACCACACATCAGGATGACATCATCAATCACACACACACACTATTTCACCTGAACTTTAACTGAGAAGAACCTCTGACCTCTGACCTTTGACCAAAGATTGACCAGCTCAATTAGTCTTCATTTCTCTTTAGCTTCAGTCAGAAAATGTTCAATCAACGAAACAGGAGTCGTCGCCAACAGGATCAGGGCTGTTGTTCCTCAGTGACACAAACTGACCACAGGAGGCACCAGAGGACTAACTCAGTCTTTAACTCAGAGTTAACTCAGAGTTAAAGACTGAGATTTTAAATCCTTTCTGGATTTTAGTCTGTAATTGTCAGGAAACGTGTTCAGTTTTTCAAACACACAACAAATATATTAGTAAAGATTAAATAAATGTATTTACACCATCTTAACAGTAATACAAAGTCGCTCCAGGGTGTGGCAGTGTTCAAAGTCTCTATGGACCTTTGTATGGTGACGTCATCATGACCAAAGTTTACAGAAAACTAGTAAATAGGAACTGTTTGCTGCCCCCTGTGGTCAGTTTGTGTCACTGAAGTAAATGCAACAAATAACTTACTGTTGGGGCAGCAGTGGACCAACAACTGCCCCGTCCAGCTGGAACTCCTCGTCCTGCCGCTCACAGAGGTCAGAGGTCAGGCCGACCAGGTCACAGGTGGAACTCGTCACCATGACGATGGTCAGACAGGAAGTGATGTTGTTCTTTCAAAGTAAAACAGGAAACATGATGAAATACGACATTTACAGTTTACACAACGAAGGACAGCTAAAGATGCTAATGCTAATTTACTGTTGGTTTGACAGTACATCTGTGACCTTTGACCTGCAGCAGAGGAAGTTGCAAGTCACAGCTTGTGACACTGACCACATGTTGAGTCACTTTATGCCATTACCTCTGACTGAGTTGCATCAGCTTCGCTCTGTGTGTGTGTGTGTGTGTGTGTGTGTGTGTGTGTGTGGACTTTTGACCCACATTGAACAACACTTTGTGGGGAAAAAAGAATTTACGAAACAAAAAAAAAATAAAGTGGGAGGCAGGAGAGAGGAGGTGAAGTTCAGCAGAAATCCAGGGACTTTTCCCAAACAGAACCATTGAGTTCCTGGAAGGAACTGATGAGAACTGGAACTGAGTCAAAATGAAAGTGAAATGTTGTCCAGTCGTCAGTTGATGAGCTCAGAATGAATGCAGGAGTTGAACCCACGCCTCCTTCTGTGTCTTTGTTTTAAAGAATATTTTGACTGTAAATAAACAGAAACGAGAGTCGGAGCAGCTTTGGTTCAGCAACAAACATCACTTTGTAATAAATATACACTTTTTCATACAATGAACACAAACAGGATGTTTTCAAGTCCAGCTCAAACTTTGACAACGTGGACCAGTGGTCGCCGTCACCAGGAAACACCTGGTACAAAACTCAAGACGATAGTTTAAAAAAAAAAAAAAAAAAACACCAGTGAAGTATAAAAGAAATACCTCTGCAGTACTGTCGCAGTACAGTACCATGGGGTGAACACAGACACATTTGTTTCAGGTTTTCCTAGTGGTCGAACAGTGAAGTGCAGGGCGTCGTCTGTGGACATGAGGAGAGAATACTGAAACGTTCCACGAGCAGGAAGGAAATTCAAACATTTATTTTTGGGATTTGGTTTTTTCTGACTGTACTTTGTAAAACGTTTTAGTTTGTTTAGTAGAACATCGTCGGCAAATGTGTGTACGTGTACGCGACAACCAAAACCATTAGCCAAGTCAAGACTGGTGTTTTTTCAGGTGAATCGTCCTTCACTTTCACGGGGCTCACATCCTGAGTGGTCGGTCGACACGGTACACGACAGCAGCTACTTATTTATAAATAAATACACACAGACAACTCACACGCACACTCCTGGTGACCTTTTGACCCCGGACAGTTTGTCGGTGATCACCTTCAGACTCACATCTGTTCAAAATCATCTGAAATCTAAAAAAGGTTCTCGTGCTTCAGGACGCGTTCCAGGCCCTGACG